TTTTTTCAGTTTTTGATTAATAAGTACTTATCAGTATGTTTTTCCACATCGAATCACTTAAATAACTTTAAAGGTATTAAGAAGCTTTGAGCTATTCTTATCATGTTAACAGATACTTATAAAACGTTGAAATTGATCACTCTACCTTATACAAAGCTATTCTTCAGCTTACTATGGAGTAATTTTAACTCTAAAACAAGCTAAAAAATTTGAAAGAATCTAACTTCCTTGCATAAAGAGCATGCGAGATGATTAGACCAATCAAAGATTAAATTAAAGATTTATATCATCTCTACTTAAAAAAAGCTGCATACTTGTCTTTTGAAACGAATGATATTGAGGGAAAAGAAAAATATGGGTTGGAATATTTACAAGTTAAAAAAGATATGAAAATAACTCCTGAAGATCAAAATCTTATTTTGGAAATCAATCTTCACTTTATAACAAAATATCTTGATTCTAATAAATTTGAAGAAGCAGAAAAATTGAATAAAGAAAGTTTAGAAATTCTTAAAACTTGTAAGTATCCAGAAATGAAATTCTAGGTTCTTATGATTTAATCAATGATAGAAGCACAGTTCAATAGATTCGATTAGATAGAAGAATTCTATAAGTAAGTGGAAGATCTACTTCAAAGCGAATTAAAGGGTAATACCTAGCAAATAAATATTCACTAATAAGTGTATTAAAAAGCCAAATGTGAATTGTATTTTTAAATAAAAGATTACCAAACCTGCTTAGATTTAATAAGTAAATTTATTCCCCAAAGCAATGACAAAGAGTTACTGCAATAGTACTCAAAATATTTGAATGAAATAAAAAAAAATTAATAATTCAAAGAAAGATGTGAAGACATTATGAAATAATACAAAATCAATTGATTTATTGCTATTTTAGTATGTCTAATAACTTTATTTTACCTCTATCTTTGTATTCTTTTTAATTTTATCTACACTTGGAACAAAATAATTTGACAATTATTTTACTTTATTTAAAAGATTATTCCTATTTTTTTTACTTTTAGTTTATTACAAAACTTTAAAAAGTTTTTAATTTTATAGTATTCAATATAATAATAAGAACAATTTTTTATTATTCTGCAAGAAAGTATAGTAATCACTTATGCATTTAGATAATTAAAACTTTATTTTAAAGAAAAATTAAATATAATATATTTTAGAAATTTGTGCTCTAATTTTGTATTTAACTACATTCATTAACAATGATTGATTAATCTTTTATTTTACATCTAGTAGATATTATTTAATATTATATTTTATAAATAAGAGAAGATTCTATTTAGAAATAAGTAAATAAATTACAAATGAATTTCTTTCACAATAAAATAAAATTCATATTGAAAAACCATTTTTCTCTCAAAAAAGGATAATTTTTGAAAAATTCATTTTTTAATCACTCAATTTCTTAATTCAGATTTTGCAGTAGCTAATCCTCTTAGAGTAAAATTGAGGACATACTAAAATAAATTAATAATTATGATTCAATTTAGATAATCGAAGAATACAGGAATTATGCTTAAACAACAAGCAATTTCACAAAGTTTATGGAGATAAGTAACCAATTTTTAAAATAAATGAAAAGTAGAGAAGAATAATAAAAAGCACTAGAAATATGCGATATAGTTGTTCAATCATGTCTAACTAAATTTACTTAAAATAATGAAAATCCTTAAATATTTTTTAAAGGGCAATAAGCATTATTAAATTATAAACTTAAAAAAAATGAAGAAAGCTCCAAAATAGCTGAAAGTCTCTATAAAGATTTTAGCTCTTAGCTAAATAAATTAAAAACTTTCTACTTAATTCTGAGTGCAAAATATTTGTTGGAGGTGATGGCATAAATCAAAAACATAGAAATATCAAAAAAACTATTAAATGATATACAAATTTTACTTGCTGAGGATAACTGGTAGACTCTATCTTCTTAACAGATATTTGATTTATATTACATTCATTTTGGAATTTATTATTTAGATTAAAATTTTTAAGAAGCTGCAGAGTGGGGATGGAAGTCTTATCAACAGCTTGTAAAGTTAAATAACTCAAATTTTCGTCCTGAATATATTCTAATAGGAGTATATATTTGCTACAATAGATTAAACTAAAAGGATAAATGTGAAGAAGCTCTTGTTGAAATTTAAAAGTATAATAAATTTAGTAGAGAATACTTAGATTAATTGGAATAATCATACATTCAACCTTTTGAAGTTGAAAAATAAGAGGAGAGAGAGAAAAAGTTTTAATAGATTTAACAGTAAAATAAAAATGACAATAAAAATAAGACAGAAAATAATAGTGAAAGTAAGTAGGAAACAAATTCATAAAATTAAGCTAAAACCAATTTGAAAGACGAGGATAAAGGAAATTATTTTATTCAAAATAAACTCTTCAAAGAAGGTATTGCTTATTATAAAAATTAACTATAAAAATTAGATGCTTAGAAAGATATTCTTAAATATGTTTTTATATAAGATCGAATTGCTTATTTGTATAGTGAATGCTAAGATTTCTAAAAGGCTATTAATTTATGCTTAGACTCTCATTAAATGTTACTTAAATTATATGATAAATAATTTGTTTCTAATTATGAAACATTCTAAAATTTGTCCTATATAAAAACTATTTATGAAAAGAATAACGAGTTAGAAAAGGCTATTTAATGGGGATAGAAATGGCATGATTACTGCACAAAATATTAATTATTTGATAAATAAAGTGAAGTCATTGAAAGCAATATGCTATCTCATGCTGTTGTACTCAGTAAAGCTGGCTAAGCTAGTCAAGCTTTGTTATATTGCTAAAATATTATAAAGTATTTGCAAAAATTCCCAAATAATAAAGAAATTCTTAAATTTGGCTTGAATTAGCTGCTATATTCTTTGAGTTAGCAAGCTCATAACACATAAGGACAAAAAGAAGCTGCTATTTCTTTGTGTGAACTATCTAGAAACATAATGATCTAAGATAAAGAATACAGAAGCTATTATTTTATGATGTTAAAGGAATCAATTAATTTATCTTTAATAGTAGATGATAAGAAAAACTTTATGAAATATGGCTCAGAGTACTTAAAAGTAAGAGATCAATATGAGGAAGAAGATTTAGAGAGTGCAGTTCAAATCATGTTTGATATTAGTTAACAATTAGTTTAAGATAACGAGTACAACTAGGCGGTAGAAGTTCTTTAAAAGGCCTTAAGTATTTCAAAGCGAGCTCCTATTGATCAAAATTAAATTTAAATGAATCTTTTATTAACTACTTTATATATTTTGCAAAATAAAATTGAAGACGCTGAGCAATATTTGCAATAAGCGACATATCTATATGATACCTACTTTGCCTCTTTATCAAATTAGTAAAATTTAGAAATAGATATAGTGAAAATACAAGCTATAATTTAGTATCACAAACAAAACAATGGCAAGTGTTTGGATTTAATAGAAAAGTATTTTTAAATACTCTCTACTCAATAAAGTAATGAAATTTATGAGGATATTATCATAATCTTGAGTAATTTGTCAAGCAATAAAGAACACCAACACAGAGTCAATCTAATTTAAGTCAAGTATAATCTTAATCTAGATTGACAGGTTAATTATTTAGAAAATAAGTTAAATTAAAAATCTATTTTATTATTCAGAATTTGTAAAAACAAAAATTAATTTCTATATTTTTTATAATTTTTAAACTAATTTCTCAAATTTTTATAAATAAATAAATAAACATTTTCTTTAGCTTGAACTTAATAAAATTAAAAATTTTTAAATTATTAAATTTTAATAAAAACTAGATTTTTTTATATTTTTTTCATTTATTATTATTTCTATTAATATTATTTATTTGTCATTATTATTTTATTTATCATTATAGCCTTTATTAAAATAAAGGATTTGAATCTAAAAATATTTTTTTAAGAAAAATACATTCATTTGTTTTTTAAAATAGATTTTATTTTTTTTGAAATGTTGAATAAATAAAACTTTAGTTCTATGTAAAAATAAATATAAATGAAAAACACTATCCTAGAATTTAACAGTTACAAATTTCTAAATTCTAAAAATTTTCGAAATTTGTAAATTCTAAGAAATTCCCAAATTATAAATTCTAAAATTTTGATGTCCTGCAAACTTGTGTAATATATAAATATAACAAGTAATTAAAATTAAGTTTAATCATTTTTTCTTTAATTTCATAAAAATAATTTATAATAAAATGTATTTATTTGATTTTTAAATGATTTACAAATAAAAATATATAATTTTTTAATTCATAAAATTCATAAAATAATTATAAATATTGAAAATTTGAATGCAATTGAAATAAAATAAATATTAGTCAGCCTGTCAGTAGTCTTCATATAAATCATATATAACTAGCTATGGTAAAAGTGGTATGTACTTTTTTACTATCTTATTTAACATGCACAGTTAAATAATTGTCATCTTATAGTGGTACCAAATATCGATGTTTGTTTTATAAGGATCATAGCTATCAATTTTATCTAAAAATAGATAAGTTAAAGAATTTATTATTACTTTTTAAATTGCGTAGTTTTTAAGTTTATTTGTGTGCAAAATTTCAACTTTTAGAGATTCTTTTTTATAGGAGTCTAGCTTATTACTTTAAATCCATTTTATAAATAATTATACAAGTTACTCAACATTCACCCATTTATCTTCAAATGAGTTGCATATTTTTAAGCTGATCATCTAATCTTACTTAGCAAATATAATAAGCTATTCGGTAAATTAATCTTCTAGGGTTAACTAAAGTTAGGCAGATTTTATAAGGGATAACTCTTTTAATGTGGTTAAAAAACAAGAAAAATCGAGATTGTCTTACATCAACTATGCGTTAATTTGAACATTAATAGATGAACAAGCTTTTACATGCTCTATAATACTCCTTAGCTGATAATTAATGTTATTTTGAGTTAATTTAATATATTCGTAAATCTTCAAATCGTATCCATATTTAAAAATTAAAAAGCATGCATTAAAGGACTATAATATCTCTATGATTAGAAAGAAAAAAGTAAAGCAAAAAACTATTTCATATCGATTAATATTTTCTAAAATAAAAAATGAACATAAAAGCAATATTATTATCATTAAATTCTAAAAGGATTAATTTAATACACGAAAGCTAAATTCTTAGATCTTTCTTGAAGATTTATAATCATTCAAATGATAGCTGGGCATATCCTATATTTGAAGAAAGGAATAGTATCTCTATATCTAATCTTTCCTTAAATATTAGTAAACTTCTAGTACCAAATAAGGTAAAAGTAGAAAACTAAATTCAATGTGAAATGAAACAAGATACCCAAAAATCATGTAAAACGAAGTAATTCTTGATCCATTTATAATAAATCTATATAATATCCACAAAGCAGATGTTTGTTATTCAATATAAATGATCTACTTAGCAGTAGAAGCAACTACTATCAATACTATACTACTAAAGGTTACTAAATATAACAACCATAGTTTTTCAAAATCTATAAATGATTAAGTTGCAATGGTTTTAAAATTAAAAATAAGAGGCAAAAAGTTTAACAGATGAGGCACAAATAGTGCGATCTTAAGATATTCGTGTTCAACAAAAGCATATTAATTGTTGCCTTAATTTACAAATCCATGATGAATATCAACAAATAATAAAGTACTCAATAGTAAACTTCCATAATATTTTAAGTAATATTAGCACAATAACTTGAAGGTAACAATCCTCTAAATCAAAAACTAAGCTATCAGTATAAAAGAAAAAATCATATAGTCATTGACTATATAGAATAATATTAGAAACATGCTAAGTATTTAGTTAATAGAAGTCATAAACAAAATGATTTTAGTTAGAAATCTTAGCTTTGGAAAGTTCATTATTTGTTTTTTAGATTATTCTACTTAATTATTAATTGTTATTAAATATACTTTTTAGTAATCACAGTTAATTTTAATAAAATACTTAATAAATATTTCAAATAATTATTACTAATTTATTAATCATTAAACTTTCTTTCATTCTAAAATGATAAAATAAATAAATATAAATAATTTAAATAATTATCAAAGTAGTAAACTTTTAGTTTGGTGAATGAATTAAATGTTTATATTGTTTTCTTAGTATTTTTGCAAATTTAATACATAAAAATGAATTAATTTAGCAAATAATTTATAAAACTCTATCAATTTTAATTCAATAAAATAGCTTAGTCAAATGTATTGATGAAAAATAGAATGAAAGCAAAAATTTTATCTTATAAATATTTTATTTTTAATTTTAAAAAATGGCTGATAACTTTTATATTTATTTATTATTTCTACTTTAGTGTTATTTTATAATTAGATTAATAAATAATTTTATGATTATGAATGATTTTATGAGAATAGGTAAAAATGATATAAATAAAAATAAAAAAGAATCAAAATATATGAAAAGTTATTTAAATAATATTATCTATCGTATTTAATTTTAATCATAAAAAGTTGAAGCACAAATATATATCTGACTTATTCTGTTATTGGTTGTTTAATTTTTTGATATTCAGGTCTTTCTTATGATTAGGTTCAAATTTATTCTTTTCAATTATTGCATTCTTAATCAATTTGTTTATGTGTTTTTTAAGATTTCTACTCTTATTTGTCGTTTTAATCACTTTATGACATTTATTGTCTTTAATAATAGAAAAGCTTTACCTTTAGTTCTTAAATATCTTCAGATTGACTTTAAGCTAGTTTTTCTAGCTTATTCACTTATTTTTAAAGTAAAGAAATCATTTATTCTTGTCTTTAAATCTCTTTATTATTTTTAATCTAATCAGATTCTCTTAATTATGCCTGTAGATGGTTGATTCTTTAATAGTTTTGATTAACATCTGTTTAAAGATAATAAAATTAACTCTTTAAATCTTAAAATCTTACTATCACTATTATAAGACCAAAACATAATAAGATTCCAAAGTATACTATAATTCTCTTATTAGTAATTTTGCTTCTTGCCTATTGCTATATAGAAAAAGAACCATACTTAAAGAGTTATTTAGCCCAATTAAATTCATATAGATATATATAGGTAACAGTATTAGCTAAGGCTATAACTAATATTTGAATGCAAATATGAATGAAGAAACTCAGCAAGATATTCATGAGCAAACTATTAACTCCAACAAAGTAAAGGGTATTTAGTTTTCTTTCTTGATTTTTTAATTTTTATTATTCTTCGTTAGAACTTTAAGGGTCTTAGACTTTTTAACTACCATGTTGAGAGCTATTTTCAGGGTAGTGAGAAACAAAATTACTCTCCGTCTTGGCACTTTCTTAAGATTTTTGAGCATTTATAATATCTTAATTGTGTATCTGTTAGTAGTCGTCTTCAGAATTTTACTTTTCATCCTAGATACCAGATTCGTCTTTATTCGAGGGAATCGATTAATCGTTGTTTTTTTATAATTCGTAATTCATGGTTGGTAACTATTTTCAGAAATGTTTTAAATAAATAAACCTTTCTTTATTTATCAATTTTTTTTTTAATATTTTTTTAATGATTTAATTATACATTATGTTTGATGCTTAGAGAAAAAACAATATATAAACAGTTAACAAACAGATTCTATTTGAAAAGTTGGTGAAACATCATTCCTTTTCGTAATTATTTTTGATTAAATTTATATTAGTAATTACTTACTTAATCATATATATATATATATTTATATATGAAAAAGTGTAATTTCCGTTCCCTTTTATTTAAATTTTTTTTCAAATGAATTCCAATTTTTTTATAAACACGTGTAAATTTAATAAAATAGATTACTATTCTACTGAGATGGCTTTCCCAACATCCATTATATTATACAAAAAATTAAAATGGATATTAATAAATTTTGCATTAATATTATAGAATTCATAATAAAATTTATTTTTGATATTTTTAATACTCAAACAAATATAACTTTTTATTATCTAAAATTATAACTAAATATGGTAAAAGTGCAATATACTTTTTTATTATCTTTTTTAATACACACATTTAAATAATTGTTATCTTATAGTGGTACTAAATATTAATGTTGGCGAAGGAAAATAGATATTTGTTTTATCTAAAAATAATTAATTAAATTACTTTTTAAATTTCATAATTTACAAATTTATTTGTGAGTAAAATTTTTATTTAGAGATATTCTTTTTTATATGAGTCTAGCTTATTGCTTCAAATTCATTTTATGAAATCTTTATACAAACTACTCAAAATTCACCTATTAATTTTAAAATGGGTTGCAAAAGGATTAGTTTAATATGTGAAAGCTAAATTCTTAGATTTTTCTTGAAGATTTGTTATCATTCAAATGATAGCTGGGCATATATATCCTAAATTTGAAGAAATGATTTGTCTCTATATTTAATCTTTCTTTAAATATTACTAAAATTCTATTACCAAATAACGTAAAAGTAGAATACTAAATAAAATCCATGAAAAATGATTTAAGATATCCTAAAATAATATAAAACGAAGTAATTAATGATGCATATAATAAATCTATATAATCTCCACAAAGCATAGATCTGATATTCAATATAAATAGTATAACTAGCTGTAGAAGCAACTACTATCAATGATATACTACTGAAGGTCACTAGATAAAGCATTCATAGCTTTCAAAATCTATAAATGCTTAATTTTAAATTATTTTAAAATTAAAAATAAAAGGTAGAAAAGTAAGTTTAAAACATGAGGTACAAATGGTGCTACCTTAAAATATTTCTGTTCAAAAAAAGTGTATTAATTGTTGCCATAATTTGCAAATCCATGATGAATATCATAAAATAATAAAGTACTCAATAATAAACTTCCATATTATTTTAAGTAATATTAGCATAATAGCTTGAAGGTAGCAATCCTCTAAATCAAAAACTAATCTATCAAAATCAGATAGTAATAGGCTATAGATAATAATATCATAAATATGCTAAATATTTAGTAGAAGCCATAAACAAAATGGTTTTAATTAGAAAGCTTAACTTTGGAAAATTCATTTTTTTTTTTTTTGATTATTCTACTTACTTACTTATTAATTGCTTTTAAAAATACTTAATAAGTAATCACAATTAATTTTAATAAAATTTTTAATTATTTATTTAAAATAATTAATTATTACTCATATATTGAAATTAAACATTAAATCTTTCATTTAAATATGACAAAAGAAGTAAATAAATAAATCTAATTAATTTAAATACTTTATCAAATTAGTAAACTTTAAATTTGGTGAATGAAATAAATAAATACTTATTTATTTTTTTTAGAATTAGTTTAAAATTCATTCATACATGAATTATTTTTGTATTTAATTTATAAAAATTTGCGAATTTTATATAAAAAAAATAATTTAGTCAAATATATTGATGGAAAATTGAATTTAGGCAAATAATTTATTTTATTATTTTATTTTAATATAAAAAATTATGTTATAACTTTAATATTAATTAATATTTATAAGTGGTTTTTTATTATTAGATTAATATTTATTTTTATGGAAACGAATTAATTTTTATAGAATAGATTATTAAAAAAATCCAAAGAAAAATAAAACACATACAAAATACATTCATAATATTATCATTTTTTAATTATAATCATAAAAAGGTTGATGAGCATCTGACTTATTCTCTTATTGGTTGTTTAATTTTTGGATATTCAGGTCTTTCTTATTCCTATCTTTGGTTAGAATATTATTATTTTGATTGAGTGCTTTGTTATTAACTTTGTTACTGTGTTTGTTAAGATTCCTACTTTTATTTGTTGATTTAATCGTTTTGGAATATTTACTGTCTTTATTAATCGGTAAGCTTTAGCTTGAGTTGTTCTATTTCTTGAGATTGCCTTTAGGCGAGAATTTCTAATTATCTTAATTAGTTTCCAAGTTAAATATTAATTTATTCTTGTTTTTAAATATCAAATTGATGTTAGTTAAATCTCATGTAATCAGATTCTCTATACTAGTATAAACTGTTGATTTTGTAATAGTTGTCTGTAACATCTGCCTTAAGATTATTAAAGTTTTTTTAGAGCTATTAAACTCTTATTATTTAAAATATAGTAATAGCTATAAGAATAAGACATAATAAGCTTCCAAAAGATACTAAAAGTCTCTTTTTAGTAATTTTGTTTCTTGCCTTTTGCGATAGAGAAGAAGAACTTTACTTTACTTTTTTAAAGAGCTGTTTTGTTTCTTTACATTTATAAAGAGAGATATATGTAACAGCATTTGCTAAGGCTATAACAAGTACTTGAACACAAATATTATTTAGGAAGCTCAACTTGTGGGAAAATAAGACATTCATGACCAAACTATTAACTCCAATAAAGTAAAGGGCATTTAGTTTTCTTTCTTCGTTGTTAGATTTCTATTATTCTTCATTAGAATTCTAGGGATCTTAGACTTTTTAACTATCTTTTTGAGAGTTGCTTTCAGAGTTGTGAGAATCAAAATCTGTTTCATTCTTGGCCTTTTCTTAAGATTACTGAGCATTCATAACATCTTCATTGTGTATCTGTTAGAAGTCTTCAGAGTTTTGGTTTTCATTCTAAATAGCAGATTAATCTTAATTTGAGGAGATCGGTTAAGTATCGTTTTTTTATAATTCGTAATTCATCTATCTATTTTTTGCAAATATTTTCTTAAGTGTTTTAAATGAGCTTTTATGTATTTATTATTTTTTTATAATATAGTTATTTAATTTTTTAATTATTTAATTATTATATTTGACGTTTAGAGAAAAAGTAATATATAAACAGTATACAAATAGTTTTTAATTAAAAACGTGGCGAAATATCATAAATTTATTTGAGTTATTATTATAATTATTATTAATTAAATTTATATAGTTTCTACTAAATCATTTATTTTTACGTGTAAATCAATATTTAAATTTTTTAAAAGATCCGATAATTAATTTTTGCGTGTAGTTAATAAATTAGCTGGCTGATCAATCAAACTAAACAAATAGACAAATAAATTATTAATTGACTCTTTAGCATCTCTCTAAAACTTAATAACACAAAAAATGATTTAATAAATATCTTACTTAAAACGCAAGGTAAATAACATTTTATTCAATCAAATATGTTTTTAGTTTATAAATTTATTTTATTATTTAGCATAAAATTTTAGCATTTTAGAAATATAATATGAAAATTTTAATAGATTGATGGATAGATGTATTTTTTATTTGATTTGTTTCTAGATAAGATTTAGAAAATCATATTTATTATTATAATTAGAAAATTTAATTTCTTTCTAAATAATTAAAATAGAAAGAAACTCAATCTTAATTTTATATTATTGACTTTCTAATAAAGTATAAATGGATTAGAGATATCAAGATAAAATATAATAGAATTTTCAGCACCATTAAATTAATTTTACATATTTAATGAATAAATTAAATATAAAAATATAATAATTAGAAAGAATACTTACTTACTGATTTTTCTCATAAATTAATTTACTCTTTTTATAAGCAATAAATCAAATTAATGTAAAATTTATTTCATTAGTTTTAAAAAATGGCAAAGAATTTAATGCTTTCTATCAATACTTTAACAAAAACTATGTTTATGATTCAAAATTATTCAATTTTATTAAGTTTTCAATAAAAATATAAATTAAATAATTTAATTTTTGATAATTAAATAAATATTAGTCTTTATTTATTAATATAAAATATATAATTCATTTCAATACACATAATGTTAAAATTTAAAAGCTTTTTTAGAAATTAATAAATGCTGTATAATCCATAATATAAGTGAATGAAACCAAACTTTAATTTTTATAATGATAAATTTAACAATTAAAACTTTTAACTAATTCATCATATTCCATAAAAATAAATAATCTAAAGTACAAAATTAAATAATTGATCAATTTTAAATTACATTCATATAAAAATAATTTAAATGAAATAATTAATATGTGGATCAAAAAAACTTTAAAAGGATTAAGTCTAACTACAGACAAAAAATGTTTAATCAGTAATATAACAATTATTTGATATATATTAATATATATAATAAAGCTTTTTTGCAACTTATAAAAAGATGATATTCATAAATTATAAGCAATTATAAAAATCTGTCCTATTTTTAGGTTAAATTATACTATTACAAGATATAATTTAAGAAAAAATAGTATATTCAAATATTTAATATTTATTCATCTATTTTTTACCATGTACTTATTTATCATCAACTGAAATATACTTTAAAGACTACTAATCTTTTTGATTTAAGACACTTGCTGCGTACTTTCAATTATTATTATGGGTCATTGATTTAGTTTAAACTTTAGTATAAATTAGAGTAAATTACTTTTAAAAATTAGCAGAATAAAAAAGAAAAACTAATTAATAAACTATCAAGTAAATTGAAAGCTCTATTGTTTTAATTCATTTTTAAATTAAAAATATCATAATCCAAAACAAATAAACTGCTTTTACCCAAGATCAAGTATCAAATTTGAGAGATTAGTGCAATTTGCAATAGCAGTACCTAAGTATGATGCACTAATTGCACCAATTTAATTGCCGCTTTTTACATATTTAAGAGAAAATAAATAATTTATTAGAAGGAAAAATGAAGAAAAAATATGAAAATAATAATAAAAAATAAATTATAAATTGAAAAATTGAAAAATTAAAAATTAAAAATGAGCTAAGTTTATCAAAAAAAGAAAAAAATAAATCAAACAAAAATCTATAAATTAATTCATTTTTATAAATAAAAATACTAACAATCTAAAAGAAATAATCTATTTATTTTTACTAAAGAGAGAGTGTCAGATTTGAGAGATTAGTGCAATTTGCTAAAGCAAAGACTAATCCTGATATACCTTCATCACCAATATAATTGGAGCTTTTTAAATAGTGAAGAATAAATATGAAATAATAAGAAATAAATGACTTGGTCCTAAAAGCAACAGTTGAAAAAAATGTTAAATTAACAAAGAAATAAAAAAATAAAAAAAAAGAAATAAAAAATAAATAAAATAAAAAGATACCAAATAAATTAAAAGAGCTTTATTGTTTTAAATTCATTTTAAAAAAAAATATCACAATCTAAAGTCAATAAAATGTATTTACTAAAGAGAAAGTGTCAAATTTGAGAGATTAGTACAATTTGTCAAAGTAAAGCATAAGCCTAATACACCTTCATCACCAATTTAATTGCTACTATTTAAATTAAAAATATTTATAATTAACAAATAAGAAAAAAATAAATAAAAATTTATCAAATAAGTTAAAAGAGCTTTATTGTTTAAATTCATTTTTAAAATTAAAAATTTCATAATCCAATGCAAATAAATGAATAAATAAATTGTTTTTACCCAAGGTCAAGTGTCAAATTTGAGAGATTAGTGCAATTTGCTAAAGCAGAACTTAAGCTTGATGTACCAATTGCACCAATTTAATTGCTACTTTATAAATATTGAAGAAGAAGAAATAAGTTAGATAGCTAATTAGAATGATAATTTAAGAAAAGATATCAAATGAATTAATAATTAATGATAAATTCAAAGTTGAAAAAAAAATAATCAAATAAATTAAAAGAGCTTTGCTGTTTTAAATTTATTATTTAAATTAAAAATATCACAATCAAATGCAAATAAATAAATAAATTGTTTTTACCAAAGATAAAGGTTCATATTTGAGAGGTTAGTGCAATTTGCTATAGCAGAACCTAAATTTTATATCCCTTCACAACCAATTTAATTGCTACTGTTTAAATAATAAAGAAATAATATATAGTTTATTAATTAGACAATAGGAAAAAATGAAGAAAAATATGAAATCCATAAATTGCAGAAGCAAAGGTTGATAATAAAAAAATGAATTAAATTAACAAAGAAACAAACAAAAATTCAAGCAAGCTCATTTAAAATAGAATATGAAAAATAAATCAAATAAAAAGCTATTAAATAAATTAAAAAAGCTTTGCTATTTTAAATTCATTTTTAAAATTAAAAATATCACAATCCAAACAAATAAACTGTTTTTATAAGTAACATTTTTCGTAGGAAAAAATGAAGATAAAATATAAAATAACAATTATTTAATTAATTAAAAATTAAATTTAGTTAAAATAGCTAAAAAAGTAATTCCATAATAAAAATGAATGAGAATAGATGTAAATCTTATTAGAAAAATAATATTATAAATAAATTGAAAGTTAAACATATAAAAAATATGAATGAATGAATAATATTTAAAAATTAAATAAATATACCCCAAATTAATATGAAGGACCTAATGAGATTAGAGAGAAGAGTTTAAAAACTTTTTTTATTAATAAAAATAAATTTAAATATCATTCATAAAAAAATATATAATTGCTTCTTCTAATTAGTCGTAATATTTAATCTATTATATCATTTATTTTTTTTCAAAAATATTAAATAACAATTATTGAAATTTAATTAATTAATGGATAATAATAATAATAAATCAATTAAAAACTTAACAAATAAAAAAATAAATAAGAATTTATAAATTTGCTTTTACCACAAAAGAGTTAGAATATTATTCATTATTTATTTAATGATTGTATTTAAAATATTTACTTAGATATAGTAAGAATTAATGATAGGTAGGCAAAAGTTCAAAAAATTTATATTTTATAATTAATGGACTTAAGTTGAAATAAATTTAATTCCGATTTGATTTTTAAAAAAATATTAACCCTTATTTATTAATGTTATATAAATAAATAAATTAAAATGTTTTAAGTGATAAAAACGATTACAAGAGACAGACAGACAGATAGATATATGTAATATATGTTTGTAAATATTTATCAGTTTATTTATGTATTTCACTTAAAAAATAAAATGATAACTGATAAAATGAATATATAATCTTTATACTCTATTCAAGATTAATTTAAAATATAATTTAATTGCTTAAATTATTCATTTAAAAAATTCAATCTAGAATCTTTAAATTCTTTATTAAATTCTTGCTTCTACTAACCTTAATTTTAAGGATTTTATTAGATCTA